GGTTGGGGCTCCCTTGCCTGCCCAGCGCTCTTGCTAGCCGAGGACGCCGGCGTCTGCTTCAGTGCCAATTCACATGTTTCAGGACTGCCTTTCCACATCTGCTTGAGCTGACCTAATGGCTCATTGCTGCCAAAACACGTGGGAAGTGCCGCTCGCCGTCCCCTCTCGCCTGGCTCCTGCGTTGCCCTCCAGCCATGCTGCCCTGTCCTTGCTCTGCTGCGTACCCGGAGCCCTGCTGCACCCCAGCTGGGCACCCTTGTGCCACCCTGGCACGTGGCAGTTGAATTTGCCATCCCAGCCAAAATACACTAATAAATAGTCTTTTTTTTTTTTTTCCCCTCTCCCCTCCTCCCCCCGTGTTTGTTTTCTGCTGTTTTAGTGAACTCGGCTGCATTGGAAAACCTGAATCGGTTGAGTTGGTGGAAATGCTCAGTCAGAAATGCAGAGGGGAGGCAAAGATGGGGGTGATAGGGTAGGAAGGGGGTCCTTCCAGGGGGAGCCATTTGTCTCAGGCACCCCACAAGTGGGCCTCTTCAGCCTGACCCGGTGGGGTTGGCCATCCCCACTTGGGGTGGGCTCAGCCTGTTGTGCCCCTCATCCCCTGGCATCCGAGGGATGGTGACAAAGTGAGGGGACGGCGCCGTTCTGCGTAGCAGCAGCTGGATGAGCCGCACCGTGCCTGCCTGCGGCCTGCGTGTGCCTGCTGCAAGGAACGTGCAAACCTGCAGCATAACGGTGGCAGGCAGATCCCTGGCTCTGGGGTGAGGGTCTGCGGGGACATCCCAGGCTCTGGGGTGAGGGTCTGCGGGGACATCCCTGGCTCTGGGGTGAGGGTCTGCGGGAGGATCCTGGCTCTGAGATGAGGCCTCTGCTGGCTCCTGTCTGGGTGCAGGAGCTGGTACAGGCTAACGACCAGCATAGCTAGCCATAGCTAGCCGTCTGCAGGGTTTGCAAACGCGTCCTCACCTGAAGCACCAAGTCGGGGAATTAGGAAGGGACAGCTCTTTGCTTTGAAGTCTGACACTTCTTGCCGGTATCTAGCAGATACTTCTCATTGTGTGAAATCACTCAGTCAACATTCCTGTCTGTGGAGAAAAGACTTTCCTCCTTCCACAAGCGTGTTTCTAGAGGTGTTATTTCCTCACGGGATGCAGGCTGAGCTGCTGCTCTTTTCCTCCCCAAGCCGTCTGTGGTTCTGTTGCCTCTTGGCCGGGTGAAATTTTGCCCGGTATGCGTGGGGACTACATGGAGATGGTGGCACGGGGCAGCTTTCCGTAGCCCCACTCCAGTGCTTTTGTCAGGGATCGTGCCCCGCCGTGCGG